GCTGGTGTCAGTGTCCCGAGGAGGTGGCCAGGTTTCTTCATGGTCTGTGACTGCAGGCCGAATGAGGGAGCGCAGCATGGTGTGAGCTCTGTGGGCACTTCAGTTTCAGGGGAGCAAGATGCAAAGCTCCTTGGTAGAGCTGGGAAGCCGTCCACATCCTCCAGTCCCTCTCTGGAACTTCCTTTTCGAGTTAGAGACACGCAGGGAAGCATGGTGCAGCCGGAGTGGTGCTCGGCTCATCAGAGGGGCTGCCCACACCCACTAAGTCATCCGTCATGGCCTCTCCAATGTCATTTTCCTGCTAAGATGTTAGGAGGGTGTTTGGCTCCCAATTCACAAGCAAACGCTGTAATTCAACAATCTTCTCTTGAGTTCTTCACGGAACTTCAGTGACTCCCAAGTAGAGGATCGGGGATGAGTGAAGTCAGCAGGTGCCCTGAGCACGTTTCATTTGCCAAGTGGGAGTTAGGGGAGTTTCCATCTGAGTCCTGGGGACAGCTCGGGGTAGGGGGAAGTCTGAAAGTGGCTGATTGGGGGCTTCTGTGTGACTCTGGCCTTTTCTTATCTTCTTGGTTCCATTCCCATAATAGATCCCCAGAGTCATCCAGGAAAAGGTTTGCTCCGACCAGTTTCCTGTGGCCTGCTGATTGTGGCAGCCCGAAGGGGAAGGTGTTGCCTGGGAAAGACTGACTGTCCCTGTTCAGGAATCTCGGTGTTTCTGCTTGGTGTCTTACCTTGCATGCTACAAAGAGCCCCCTGCTTCTGCCCTCTGTGCCCCAGAAGAACACCAGGCGAAGCTGTGCACTTGAGCTCAGTCATCGCTAACCCGCCCTTGTTATATCACTTTCCAGGGGCCAGAGAATGACTTTGTTATTCAGCACAGGGGCACTCTTCATCCCTTGCCACAATTCAGATTAAGGGGTCACTTTCAAACTGGTGGGAGACCAGACCTGGGGGTGACGCTGTCCTCTCTGGAGACCCTGCTCACCCACATCTTGAATGGGCCTGAGACGTTGCCATAAAGCACCCCTTGACTGGCATATAACAAAGTGATAATGAAAAGCTCTTTTTCTGGAAAAACAGGTATCCTCATGAACAAGGAGCTGAGACTCTCTGCTCTTCAGATGTTCTATGTGTACAGTCCTATTCCTGGCACTGTAACTTGGCGCTCTGGACCCTGAGTACCAGGGATGCCCATGAGGTTGCGTCCACAGGTGGCATCCACTCAGACAGCTGCACCCCATCCTCCAGGAACACCTCTGAGGTGTCGTGGTCAATCTCACTGCACTACCTGCTCCAAAGAGGTCGAGAGTTTGAGACTGTTAACTCTGGTTTTGCAGATCAAGAAATTCTCAACCAAGAAGGAGATGGGCCCCTTTCAGGGGCAGCCCTGAGGATCTGCCAGCCCTCTCCTGCCCAGCAGCTACCCCCCACCCTAGCCTCCCTACAGCCCAGCATCCAAAGTTGAGCACTGGGCCGAGACTGAATAAACATTGCTGATGATACAGGAATCGGAGCAAACAAGCCTTCTCTTTTTGCCAGCTGCCCCATTAACAGAAAACCCTTTTAAGGGCCCATCTGGAAGCCAGGTTTTCCCCTCCCTGAGCAAACTGAGATGACCAAAAGGAATGTGCTCAAGAGAGGGCTGCTCTGGGGGGGACCCAAGCACACTGGGGCCTGGTCATACGGTGAAGAATGAACACATGGAGATCAAAGGGGGTTTGCCTGAGCCAGCCTTGAGGTCCACACAGCAAGGCAGCGCACAGCCACACCGGCCCCTTTCAAGGCTTCTGCACAGAGGCCAGGGCCACCACGGACACGGCTTCCCACAATAGCTCACTGTGGCTGGCTGTTCCCCGCCGAGCTGTGCTTGACAACCAGGTTTCTTGGAACACCTTCCACCTTCAACTTAGACTACCTCTCCGGGTGGAGGGAAGTGTCCTTGAGCACCGTGTCCCTACAGCCACGCCAAGGGTACACTCATGTTAGGGGTTTTAAGGAAACCTGTCTTTCGGACACTTCAGGGTCTCAACGGCAACATGAGACTAGCAACCCCTAACTGGCCAGGAGATACAGCCTGCGTCTGTAATCAGCTAACAGCTGCCCGTGGCCACTGCACACTCCTGCACTCTGATCCTAAGAATGTGTGGGGCTTTGAGGGCAAGCCGGCTGCTCTGAGCCATCAGGGTTCCAAAGACAAGAGGGTATTAAGAGTGAGTAAGGAGGGAGGCTAGAGGGTGTGCTGGCTTCTGGATGGACCCTGTGTGTGCACTAATTTAGTCAATTATATTTTATAGATTGATTTCGTGTTGGGGGACACATGCCACAGTGTAAGTGAACATCAGAGGACAATTTGTGGGAGCTGGCTTTCTCCTTCCCACGTCTGAGGCTCTGGGGACTGAGTTCAGTCGTCAATCGTGATGGATGGACGGCACCTTCACCCGCTCTCCCATTTCCCTGGCTCTTACTGCTTTTGAGACAGGTCCTCACTCTGTGGCCCAGGCTGGTTAGCCTCTAACTTGTGGTAATCTTCCTGTTTTAGCTTCCCTGGGTGGCAGGTGTGTGCCAACACACCAAACTTGTGTGTGTTTTCCTTTCCTTTCCCCCCTTTTTATGTGCATGTGCATGGGGTTTCATGTATGTATATGCATGTTTTCCTGTGTGTGGGTGCACACACATGGACCTGGATGTGGAGGCCTGGTTTTAATATCAGGGATCTTTCTCCATTGTTGTTCTACCACGTACATTGAGGCAGAGTCTCTCAGTCTAACCCAGAGCTCCCCCGTTGAGCTGGTCTCCCTAGCCAGCTTGCTCTGGAATCCCTATCTCTTTCTTCCAAAGCAGGAATTACAAGTGGATTTCCACACCCACCTAGCATTTACCATGAGTTCTGAGGATTTGGACTCTGGTCCTCTCATGCACGCAACAAGCTCTGTAACTGCAGAGCCATCTTCGCATCCTCTGTTGTTGTTAATGCATAAAAGATGCGGAGAAACGCATCCATTTTTTATTGATATTTATTGAGCTCTACATTTTTTCTGCTCCCCTCCTCTCTTCAATTCTCCCCCAAGGTCCCCATACTCCCAATTTACTCAGGAGATCTTGTCTTTTTTCTACTTTCCACTTCCCATGTAGATTAGATTTATGTAATCTTTATGTTAGTCTCTCTTAGTGTCCTCATTGTTGTCTAAGTTCTCTGAGATTGTGGTTTGTAGGCTGGCTTTCTTTGCTTTATGTTTAAAAACCACCTATGAGTGAGTACATGTGATAATTGTCTTTCTCTGTCTGGGTTACCTCACTCAAAATGATGTTTTCTAGCTCTATCCATTTGCCTGCAAAATTCAAGCTGTCTTTATTTTTTTCTGCTGTGTAATACTTCATTGTGTAAATGTACCACATTTTTCTTATCTATTCTTTGATTGAGGGGCATTTAGGTTGTTTCCAGGTTCTGGCTATAACAAACAAAGCTGCTATGAACATGGTTAAGCACATGTCCTTGTGGCACGATTGAGCATCCTTTGGATATATACCCAAAAGTGGTATTACTGGGTCTTGAGGAAGGTTGTTTCCTAATTTTCTTAGAAATTGCCACATGACATCCAAAGGGTTTGTACCAGCTTGCATTCCCCCCAGCAATGCAGAAGTGTTCCCTTTTCTCCACAACCTCCTCAGCATAAGTTGTCAGCAGTGTTTTTGATCTTGGTCATTCTTACAGGTATAAGATGGAATCTCAGAGTTGTTTTGATTTGCGTTTTTCTGATGACTAGGGATGTTGAACATTTCCTTAAGTGTCTTTCAGCCATTTTAGATTCCTCTGTTGAGAGTTCTCTGCTTAGGTCTGTAATTCTTTTTTTTATTGGATTATGTGATATTTTGGTGTCCAATTTCTTGAGTTCTTTGTATATTTTGGAGATCAGACCTCTGTCTGATGTGAGATTGGTGAAGATCTTTTCCCATTCTGTAGGCTGTCGTTTTGTTTTGTTGACTGTGTCCTTTGCTTTACAGAAGCTTTTCAGTTTCAGGAGGTTCCATTTATTAATTGTTTCTCTCAGTGTCTTTGCTGCTGGGGTTATATTTAGGAAGTGGTTCCCTTTGCCAATGCATACAAGTGTACTTCCCACTTTCTCTTTTATAAGGTTCAGTGTGACTGGCTTTATGTTGAGGTCTTTGATCCATTTGGACTTGAGTTTTGTGCATGGTGATAGATATGGGTCTATTTTCATTCTTCTACATCGATTTCTTGAACTCTTAAGAAGTTTGTGTCACCTTCTTAGCTCTGTTCAGGTTTGGAAAAAAAAACTTCATTTTATGACCATTTTACTGCAATAAGTACTAGCTACTTTCCCCGTTTATTTTACTTTGATTCATGTGTGTCTGCCCCACGGCACATGTAGGGAGGTCAGAAGCCAACTCAAAGGAGTCAGTTCTCTTCGCTGTGCAGGATTCAGGGATTGCACTCAGCTTGGTGGCAAGTGCCTTTGCCTGAGGAACCATCTGGCCAGGCTGGGACTCTTTGACTGTTGAGTTGGTAATTTAAGAAGGAAAAGTTCCACTGTCCCCAAGGTCACCTCAGTGCTGAGGCTGGTTCCCAAATTGTTCTGTAGGCAACATGGCTGAAGATGGTAAGACATGCCATGGACAGGCAAAATGATGACTTAGGTAGGGAAAGCCCTTTGGGGTGGCTTTCAGCTGCCCACCATTCAGCCTTAACCTGCGGATGGGACGCCACATGGCCCAAGGCTGCTGAGACCAGGTCTGGGAGACGAGAGTACTAGGTTCCACACAGAGGAAGCCTCAGTCCAACTCTTACCGAGGAAATGACTGGGCAGAGCTCAGGACAGACAAGCATCCCTCTTACCATGACTGTGGAAAACAGGGAAGGCCTGGGGCGGGGCCTTCAGCCAGACACCCCCATAGGTCAATTGGGAGAGCAGCTGGGGTGGGCTGGTCCCATCAGGGCCATGAAAGAAACTGCACCCAGCTCTCCCTGACAATCCAGGCTCTCCCACACGCTGAGACCTGACTGATCCTTGGGTTCAAGGCAAGGATGCGGGAAATCGTGCACATTCAGATTGGCCAGTGTGGCAACCAGATCGGATCCAAGGTGGGTAAGACCAGAGTCATTCGCCACAGGTTGCAGCTAAACCAACAGATGCCCAGGTTCCCAAAGGAGGAGGCCTAGCGGGTTTGTTAAATAGAAAGCTTATTAAACAAGGTCTTTTAGCAAAACCATTAGAGCTAGAGTGTTAATTAATGTTAATTTTGCCTGTAATTGTATGTGTAAATGGGTATGAAAGCCATTTTGCTTTTAGCATTTTAGAAATGAGCTTTCCACATCTAAAATCAGTAATTTGTTTCAAGAGTTTTCTGAAGCTTTTTGGGAATTTTTCTTAATTTAAAATTGTGATTATTATAATTTGTGTGTGTGTGGTGTGTATGTATTGTATTGTGTGTGTGTGGTGAGTGTGTGTATGTATATGAGTGATGTGTGTGGTATGTATATATGTTGTGTGTGGTGTACGTATGTGTGGTGTGTGTGTGTTGTGTGTGGTGTATATATGTGGTATAGTGTATATGTTGTGTGTGTGTGGTGTGTGTGGTGTATGTACTGTGTGTGTGGTGTGTTGGGGGTGTGTGTATGTGTGGTGTATATATGTGGTATAGTGTATATGTTGTGTTGTGTGGTGTGTGTGGTGTATGTACTGTGTGTGTGGTGTGTTGGGGGTGTGTGTATGTGTGGTGTATATATGTGGTATAGTGTATGTGTTGTGTGTGTGGTGTGTATGTGTGCGTGGTATGTATGTGGTATGTGTGTGTGGATTCAGGTATGGTGCCCCAGAATGCTCAGGTCCCTAGGTTTGACAGCTCCTTTACCTGGAGAGCCATCTACAAAGCAGTGTTTAAAACTGCCTGTCATTACTATTATGATCTGGATTGTTTATCTGGGAGGGTGGGTGCAGTCACTGCTGAAGCGGTTCTCTCCTTTCACCCCAGGGGTTGAACTCAGGCCTTCGAGCTTGGTGGCCAGAGTCTCTGTCCTGCTGAGCCATCTTGGAAAGTTTGTTTTGTTTTTTGTCAATACCCTGTCACTGTGGTGCCTTATGCCCCCCAAATGTTCTTTTCAAAATTTACTCTATGGCAATTTTAAATTTTAGTTAATTAATTAATTAATTAAGTTTTTCCTGATGGGGTTTCTCCCTGGCTGTCCTGGAACTAGTTTTGTAAATCAGCCTGGCCACAAACTCAGAGGTTCACCTACCTCTGCTTCCTGAGTGGTGGAATTAAAGGCATGCGCCACCACCTTCTGCATTATTTTGGGGCAATTTTACACATGTATATATTGATCAGATCCACCCCTACCTCCTACCACTGTCCCTGGACCCTGTGTAATACACCCATCTACTACCCCCTTCACACACACACACGGTTCTGTAACCCACTGAGTCCAGTCAGTGCCGCCTGCTGATCTACTAACGGACCTCGTCTTGATTTTGTATTGGTAGCCACAGGTTCTATGAATTTGAGTGTGGTAGTCACACCATGTCTGGAAGACATTTCCCAGTATCCTCCACCCTCTGGCTCCTTCTCCACCTTTCTGTCCCTTCTTCTTCAAGGTCTCTGAGCATGGGTAGGCTGTGGTCCATACTAATGTTACAAAGAAAACTTAGGATGCAATAGGCAAGTAAAGAGGCAAACGCGGAGAGAAGTGATTAAAATATTCTGGCATGTAAATGAGTTTCCCTCTCAACCCCCACTTCCTCCTGCGCTGTTCCGAGTGAGGGTCTTGACTCCTTCCCTTGCAGACACCAGGAAGGCAGGCTCTGGCAGTCAGGACTGCCACTCCTAATCTTAAGATCAACAAGAGATCTGTAGCACCTATGGAGAGAGCTCCCTGTGTTTCTTTGAAATGACTTTCATGTGTATGAATCATGTGTTTAAAGCCACTGCCATGAACGGTCTTTGTTCCTTCCGAGCAGTATCACTAACAATAGTCAAAAGTGGGACCAGTGGCCAGCAGGGTGGCCAGTGGGCAAAGACGGTTGCTGCCAAGCCCGATGACCTGAGTTCGATCCTCAAGACCCCTGTGATAGAAAGAGAACCGGTTCCTACGAGCTGCACTCTGACCCCTACTTGTGACCATGTAGTGTTTAGCCGAGGGATGGACCTTGCCGGCTACCGTATGGAACACAGCTGTGGAACACTGGAGAAGGCTCTTTTGGTTTTGGTTTTCCTAATTTTATTTATCTACTTTTACATTTTTATTCAGATTTATATTGTATCTTGAGTATCTTCCTTTACCCCTACCCCATTTATCCCTTATTCCCCCGTCAGTATCTTATGTATACATGCCTGATTCTATATGACTATATAAACTCCAAGACACAGCAATGAGAGAAAACATGCAAGATTTGCCTTTGGAGACTACCTTAGTCCTCTTAATACAATGGTCTCTAGTCTCGACCATTTTCCAGAAGATGATAAAACTTTGTTCTTTGTGGCTGAAAAGAAAATCCCGCTGTGTATAGCCACATTTCCTCTGTCCAACACTCTACTCGGGGACTCGGGGACTCTACTCGGTTGGTCCCATTACTCAGCTGTCATAAACATTGCCACAGTCTACAAGGATGAGCAAGTGTCTCTGTGCTGTGTTGGCGTGGAGGCCTTCAGGTGAAGGAACACCCAGGGGAAGCTAGAGCTGGGTCGCCTTGAACAGAAGGTCTTTGAGTCTGGGGCAAACACCGTCACTGAGTCAGAGTGTCTTAACCAATAGAGAAGTGGGGTGTGGAGGGCTCAGGGACACTGCTCTGACCTCAGATGATAGGGTGGAGAGAGGCCTGGGGAGGAAGTGCGGGAAGGATAGGGATCAGCACTCCAGCTGCCTTCGGGATTGTGCCATCTGGTGGCTGGAGTCCTGGCCATGACTTTGCATCGGGCCTATAGGAATGTCAGGGAATGTTCTAGGCTGAAGAGATCTCTTAACTGGAAAAGCTCTTGCCATGGAAGCAAGAAGACCTGAATTTAGGTCCCAAACGTGCACAATGAGAGTTGTGTGTGCAACTCCCTGCTCAGGGGAGGCAGAAGCCTGCAGCTCTTTGGACAGCCTGATCAAGGTCAATGAGTTTCCGACTCAATGAGCAGCCAGATCTCGACCTCTGGCCTCCACACCGCACTCCACGCAGTGTGTGTCCACCCGCAGGCACTTGTAGGCACAATCATGAGCACAGACACACAGTGGCAAGACACAGCTCCTCTGAGCCTTCTCAGGCCGTCTCCCTACTGGTTCTCCTACTCTTCACAGCCCCTTAGAGCCCGGTGCTGTTCTGTTAAGAGCGTGGCTGAGGCAGAGGTGCTGCTTACAAAGTCGGCTTGGGAAAATACCCTGGAGATATAGACTCAAGGGAAGGTGTTTTCATTGCACTTTAATGTGAGAGCTTTTCAGAATGGTCTAATGAGACCATTCCAGTAATCTTCTCTGTATTAATAAATGCTGTGGGCAGGCAAGGTGGTGCAGCAGGTAAAGGGGCTTGCCGCCAAGCCGGATGGCCTGAGTTACATTCCCAGGGCCCGCATGGTAGAGAAAATTGACAACCACTGATTGCTTGTGCACACATCAACAAACATGCGTACACACATGAATGAATGAATGAATGAATGTGATAAAATGATGTTCTCAGCAGGGGGTGATGGTGCATACTTTTAATCCCAGCACTTAGGAGGCACAGGCAAGCGGATCTGTGAGTTTGAGGCCAGCCTGATCTACTGAGTAAGACTGTATCTCAAATGCTGTATGCATGGGTACATAGGATGTTCCAAACAGCTCCAAGACATCAGCTACACATAATTCTGAATTAGGAGTCTGTTAGATGGTCAAATTCTATTGTCAGGTTGTGCAGTCAGGCCCTGGTTATGGACTTCTGAAGTGAAGTTCATGGAAAGAAAAAATCCCCATTGTGAAATGAAATAAGAACTCAGTTTGTTTTCATTTCCTGGATTGGCACTTCTCCGGGTCAGACCAAGGCAAGGGGAAGTTTAAGCTCCCTCATCTGAAGTGAGACTCTAAAAGGACCAGCTGTAATGCACTGGGGTTAATAGCAAAATCCAATTTCATGTGCTTGACATTTCACTCCAGGAGTTCAGATAGATCTAAAGCACAGCCTTCGTAGTCACACTTAGCGAAGGCAAGGAGAGGAAGAACAAGAAGGAAGTGTTGGGCAGGGTCAGACAGTGCCCAGAGCAGCTGCATCTTCACGGGAGCCATCCCACCCTTTCTACTGAACTTTTTCTCATTCCATCTATTTATTTATTTGTGTGTATTTATGTGTGTGTGTGGGTGTGAGCGTGCGCGTGCATGTGCAGGAGAGAGTACACATGCCATGGTGTGTGTGTGGTAGTCAGTGTGTATGTGGTAGTTTGTGATTGGTGCTTGTTGGGAGCAGTGAGACCCCAGATCCTGAATTTCTTGTAAACAACTTGTTTTCCCCTGATCTGAGTGCCTACAGCTGCTCTGAGCACGAGACCTTCGGGAGTTCCTGATGGCAGGAGAGTGGTTTCTGGTGGGTTTGGCTGGGGCGTGGCTATCTCTATATAATCTGCCCCTGAACACAATAAGGGGGGGCATTCTTGGGAAATTCAAGGATGACCCGCGTCTCTGTCTCTCTGTCTGTGTGTGTCTGTGTATTTTAACCTCCAGCCCCCTTGCCCGAAGCTCGCGAACTGGGTAATAGCGCACCGAGCGCAGACACGGGGGCGCGGTGCGCAGCAGTTCTCTCCTTCCACAAGGTTCCAGGGACTGAACTCAAGTCCTAAGGCTTGGCGGCGGGCCCGTCTGTTAGCTGAGCTGCCCCAATGGCTCTTCCTTCCCCAGGTCTCTGAGCTGATTTCTCTCTTTCTGCTTCAGTTCTGGGAGGTGATCGGAGAAGAACATGGGATTGACCCTGCTGGGGGCTACTGTGGGGCCTCCGCCCAGCAACTGGAGCGGATCAGCGTGTACTACAATGAAGCCTACGGTAGGTAGGGCTGGCTGCTGGGCTGGCCTATCATCTGGGGAGCAAGGGCAGAGGAAATGGCCCAAGTGTGAAAGACTGAAGTCCCAACATGGAATTGGCAGATAGGCAGGGTCACAGAGTCTAGTTAGTGGGTGCCCCACTCCAGTGCAAGGGGCAGAATGGGGCTGCAGTCACCCATGCTAGCCAGTCATTCCCCTCAGGAAGAGTGGGAATCCATGTTCTTAGTGAGACACAGTAATAAGAGAAGGAGAGCTTTAAAAAGCTACTTTAACAGATCTGTGTCATGGTAGTCTGGGTCAGGTATGATCAGGTATAGATATTAAAATGTCTACGTACTAGACTTCTCATGGGAGGCCTTACCCTTTCTGAGGAGTGGATGGGGGGTTGCCTAGGGGATGGCAGGGTGAGGGGTAGAAGAGAGGAGGGAGGGGGAACTGTGGTTAGTATATAAAATGAAAAAAAAACTTTAAACTTTTTTTTAAAAAAAAAGAAGGAAAAAAATGTCTACCTACCAAAGGCTTTCTTCTAGAATATTCGTGGTTTTTAGTCAGTGCCCCAAGGATCCATTTTGAGTAAACATCAACTTTTAGAAAAACTGTCATGTGCTGAGCTGTTCCTACTAATCTGCACAGGTAAAAAGTATGTGCCCCGCGCTGTCCTTGTGGACCTGGAACCTGGGACGATGGATAGCATCCGATCCAGCAGATTAGGAGCCCTCTTTCAGCCTGATAATTTTGTTCATGGTAGGTTTTTTTGTTTGTTTGCTTGTTTTTTTTTTTTTTTTTTTTTGAGGGGGTGGGTTGTTTTTTTTCCCAGAAGCTTCTGCCAGGAAGCGCTGAGGATGCCTTGTGGTGGCGCCCCGCTCACCTCACCTTTCCGCCTGCCGCTCTTCTCTCCTGGTCCTAGGTAACTCAGGAGCTGGTAACAACTGGGCCAAGGGCCACTACACCGAGGGAGCAGAGCTGATCGAGAGCGTCCTGGACGTGGTGAGGCGGGAGAGCGAGAGCTGCGACTGCCTTCAGGGTTTCCAGATCGTGCACTCTCTGGGTGGGGGCACCGGCTCAGGCATGGGCACCTTGCTCATGAACAAGATCAGGGAGGAATACCCAGACCGGATCCTTAACTCCTTTAGCGTCATGCCGTCCCCCAAGGTGTCCGACACGGTGGTAGAGCCCTACAATGCCGCCCTGTCCATCCACCAGCTGATTGAGAACACAGATGCCTGTTTCTGCATCGACAACGAGGCACTCTACGACATTTGCTTCCGCACCCTGAGGCTGACGACACCCACCTACGGCGACCTCAACCACCTGGTGTCCTTGACCATGAGTGGCATCACGACTTCCCTACGGTTTCCCGGCCAGCTCAACGCGGACCTGCGCAAGCTGGCGGTGAATATGGTGCCCTTTCCTCGTCTCCACTTCTTCATGCCGGGCTTCGCTCCACTCACGGCCCAGGGCAGTCAGCAGTACCGAGCCCTCTCGGTGGCTGAGCTCACCCAACAGATGTTTGATGCCCGCAACATCATGGCTGCCTGTGACCCTCGCCGCGGTCGCTACCTGACTGTGGCTTGCATCTTCCGGGGTAAGATGTCCACTAAGGAAGTAGACCAACAGCTGCTGTCTGTGCAGACGAGGAACAGCAGCTGCTTCGTGGAATGGATTCCCAACAACGTCAAGGTGGCTGTGTGTGACATCCCACCCCGCGGGCTGAACATGGCAGCTACCTTCCTGGGTAACAATACAGCCATCCAGGAGCTCTTCACCAGGGTCTCCGAGCACTTCTCGGCCATGTTCAGAAGGAAAGCTTTTGTGCACTGGTACACCAGCGAAGGGATGGACATAAGTGAATTTGGGGAAGCTGAGAGTGATATCCATGACCTGGTATCTGAGTACCAACAATTTCAAGACGTCAAAGCAGGGCTGGAGGAGAGCGAAGAGGACAGGGAGGAAGAGGAGGCAGAAATGGAGGCAGAAGATAAGGAACATTAGCCAGGAGAGAGGCTACAGGGCAGCCATTTTCTGTAATTTCTCCAAAGACCTGTGGCTGTCCTGAAGCCCTTGGAGCCTGCCCTCCCTTTGCCAAGGGGAGGGACAACAGGTGTAGGTGGTAGTGATGGTTGGGCGTGGCAGGGCCTTTGGCAGCCACTACGTCATCACGTGATTGTGCTTCTCTTTAAGCAGCAAGCGAATTGACTGTAGTGAGCCAGCTTGTTTTTTAGTAGCTATAGGTAGACCCCTAGAAGAAGCTTGCCAGGAGTCCTTTGCAGCGCATGGTCCCTCTCCAACCCTTTAGCAGCGTTGTTGAGTACCCGATAACCAGGGCAGCTCTGAGTCCCCCTTTCCCAAACCCAGCAAGACCTGGTGTCTGAAGGGTGTGCGGGAGGCTCAGGGCCAAGGGAAGTGTGAGTCCACCTCCATGACTGCACTGTGTAGCCCTTCTGTGCCCCTCGACAGGCTGGCTGGAAGAAGACAAAGGGAAGCCAGAGAAGCCATGCTTCGCCTCTGAGCTCCCGCCGTCCAAAGCCTAGGGAAACAAAGCATTCCCGTCCTCGGACCCTGGTCTCCCAGTAACTGGCTCCCAACGCATTTCTCTGTGTTTCTCGTTAGAACTAGACGCCAGTGTTCACTAATGACTGTCCTGGTTTTCCTCCCAAAGGCTGTCCGTAGATGCTCTTTATTCCCCTCAGCAGTCACCTCTGCAGCTCTTGTTCAGCCTCTCCATTCTCTGGGAAGGGGCACGAGGCATGCCCGGCAACCATTTGGATGCAGGAACGCAGCCGCAATGCCGCAGTGTCCTCCTTGGTGACAGCGGACATGGGCTCATTAGGGAACTTTATAGTTCAGATTAATTTGCAGAAGTTGCCATGGATGTTTGCAGGATGACACAGCTTTAACCACTGCAGCTGTAACCTCACATGACGACAGGACTGAACACACAGGAGCCCAGGCAGCCTTCCGTAACCTCTTGGCTGTAGTCTACCTAGGTCCGAGGTGCGTGGGGTCTCAGTGGTCTGCAGCTGTCACGGAGGAGCTCTTTGACCTCTCCAAAGGGAATTGTTTGCGTGAAAGTGGGTCCTAGTGTCTTGGTTTGTCCCTATGGTGCTGGGGATGGAACCTAGGGCCTTGTCACCAGCTACTCTCCGGGGCCTGTTTATAACCAATACTGAATTGGCAGGTGGGCGGCAGTCTCTTCACTTAGGCACCGGGAAGAAATAATTACAGTTCACAGCGCGAGCAATCAGGCCCCATTGTTGGTGTGACTGACCAGGCTCCTGTTTATTTTAAATACTTTCCACTTTGGTATGGATTGAGAAGCACGAGCTGAGCGTTAGAGCTGTACCTCCCCTTTCTTCCTTAGATGCTAACAAGGTTTACAGCCCACCACTCTGCAGGAGTCTGCTGCATGCTTACTGGGATGCCTTCATTCTAGCCTGTGAAAGGTGATCCCACAGATGCAAAAAGAGGCCTCAATTCTAACTTTTTTAAAATTTATGACTGTTTATACTTGCTCACTAAGTCATTGAAGTGCGAATAAATTCCATTTTAAATGACCAAGTCATTTCATCTCTGACTCAGCAAACCCCTTCCCTTGGAGTTTGACCACTCAGGCTGATGTGTCTCACCTGACTGTTCTAACGGTACAAGGAGGTTACAGTGCCAACTGACAAAAAGCCCAGGGACACTGGGTCTTTTCAGTGGTATGGTTGCCACGGTGACATCTGTGTAGCTGAAATCAGGAGCTGGAAGACTTCAAAGCTCCCTGGATCCCTCTGCTCTGACACCACTGCTTACGGACCCCATCACTTGTCGAGTTGTCCTGTCACCCCAAGGTGCTGGACCTGAGTTTACTTCATCCGTGTTGCCTTAGTATTTAATCTTACTAGATCAGACTCTCAGGATCTTTGACGAACAGTCATTTGATTACTTCAATCCTTGCCCCAAGTCTCATCTCTAGTCACCCCAATTAATGGCTCCCTGAATAAATTATTTACAAAGCTGGAAATCCTTATTAGTCAGCCTGGTTATCCTATGGCCCACGAGTCAGCTGTCGGACGGGAGCTGCTTCTTGGGGCCTTAATCTCGGGGAAAGTGGTGTCAGCTAAATGCTGCAAGTTCTTAATATCAGGACTTCAGCAGATGCCACGGCTCCTAACCTTTCAGGATCAGTTAATGTCTCTCCTTAAGCACCCCGTGCTGAGAGTCCACTGAAACCCATAGGGGAAGTGTGTGTCCGTCTTCAGCCTCACGTGACCTGAAGCACGGATTGTAGCTATTTCTCTGCTCTCTAGAAAGTTAGTGTGCGGTCAACTTTGCAGTAACTCTACTCAATTAAGAGCCTAAGAGGGTCCAGGCCATTATTTTGAGACAGGGTTTCTTGGTGTAGCTCTGGCTGTCCTGGAACTAGCTCTTAAAGACCAGGCTGGCCTTAACTCAGAGATCCTCCGGCCTCTTCCTCCAGAGTGCTGGGATTAAAGGTGTGTACCACCACCTGGCAGAGGGTTCACATTTTAAAGAAAGCCAAAAACAAAGCCCTTTGTTCCTAAACACTTAACTGAGGAATCAATGTCCTTTCAGACGAGGTCAGACTGCCCAACCACTGTGTCCAAACTGGTTTTAGCTGGGTGGTGGTGGTGCAGGCCTTTAATCCTAGCACTCTGGAGGAAGAGGCAGGAGGATCTCTGAGTTCAAGGCCAGCCTGGTCTACTAGTTCCAGGACAGGTTCCAAAGCTACAGAGAAACTCTGTCCCAAAAAACCAAATAATCATAAGTTTTAATTGAACCTCAGCCGTCAACACAGGACACAAGGTATTGATCGGCTCTGCCTCATTTCCGGTGACAAATGCACCCAGAAATTAATAAAAGGTGAAAAGCGTTTTGTCTGGATAAAGTCTAGTGATAATGACTCCTCTCCAGGTCAGTGTGAAGCGAGATGAGTCATACAATTTGTTCCTCTAATGCTGTTCTAATTGTTTCGGTTGAACTACCGGCTACCTGGAGCCACCCAGAGCCTTGGTTTACCATGAACCGATTCAGACTAGGGACAACACGACCTCCACGATGACGGTGTCACATTTTCGTAAACCATGACACTTTGATAGTTAAGCAGTGCTCCCACAGCAGCCGCACACAAGTCATGGTTCACACGGTCACACTCGCATTACTCTGTGGAAAGTTCCTATTTAAAAATGTACAACAGAAGCGAAATCCAGCAGACATGAACCATGTCATTTTATTGGCATAGTCAATTTATCAACAAGGGCAGTTTTGTCCCCAGGAGGTGAGGGTGATTTCAATCTGCCATAGCAGGTACCCATGTCTTCACCGTGACGACTCAGCAGTTCCCGCTTCAGCCAGTGCCTACAGAGACAAGAAAACGCAACAGTTGCTAGTTTGCCTTTTGCCGTGTCTGCCTCACACCCACCCTGACTGGAACCTGCTGTATCAGCTGCAGCACAGCTGGAGTGACCCTAGGCCTGGGCTGCCTGTCCTTGAGTAAATCATTTCTACTGTGACAGAAACAACTTCGTCCTATAGCTCCCCATCCCCCAGGCCAGCAGACTGGGGTCCTCGCTGCTGTAAGACATCAAGATAGAGACCACACATTTTTTTTTCAGGAGCCAGACCTGCCTCTCTGACCCCAAGGCTCCAACAAAGTCACTGGGGTCAGCCACAAATGGGCAGCGTGCCTGCAGGCAGGAGAGGGGCTGTTCTGATTCAGCTCACTGTGGAGAATCAACAGTCCACCAAAACCAAGGTTTTACAGGTCCAGATTCTGATTAGACTGAACCAAGAAAAGGGGCTCAATTCAAAACACTGCACCCCCACTCCCTGGTTTGCAATAAAATATTTGTTAATTCAAGATGAAATGAAAAGTGCTTAGGGCAGGGAGTTTCAATCAGGCCAGCTGCTCGTGCCATAGGCTGTGGAGCATGGACGGATGCTGCGGGCTGCAAAGCAAATGAAATCTGAAGAACATCTCTCTGATAACTGGTCTTGCTTAGCTTTACAATAACAATGTAAATAAAGTAGCTGGGAGATCAAATCAGTCTGGAGAACCGTGGCCTGAACTCAATGACTCGGCACAGCACAAGATTGCAACTTGACAATTGCCCACCCCGCTGCACAGGTAAAACGAGCCAGGCTCTGAACGCAGCAGGACTGGGCTCACCCAGGGCTGGCAGCTCTTCCTGCTCAGTAAGCCAGCAGGACCCTGCCTGCAGGTGTGTGCGGGCACCAGCAGCGATGGGGGAAGGAACAGGCAAAGGACTGCCATTTCTCAGGTTCCCAGTCCGTTACGTAACTCCAAGAGCAATCACAACGGGGGGAGCTTACCCTCCAGTTATTTGATTGTGTGCAGATAGATGAACCAAGTTTAATTAAAATAAGACGGCTTTCTATCTGAGGATGCTAACTGCACTGAAAATCAATGTGCCAATTATTCTGCCTGTCGGGGCTGTCCCGGGCACTCTTTCATCATGCCAGGAGCCCTCTCAGGGCTGCAGCCGCCAGTGTCGGGGCAGAGCCGCGAACCAAAGCGAGTTCCGGTGAACCCCACCAGGCGGCTCTCACAAGCCAGCCACTCACCGGCTACTCCTTCTTCACCTTCACGATCTTTATGCTGCTGCCGGACGTCTTCTCGGCGTTAGCTTTGAACTCGGTTTTCAGGGCATCCCTCACTGCTTTCGCACAGATCTGGGAAAAGCGGATGTAGCTAGCAAAGCGAGAGAGAATATGAAAGGCTCGTTACCAACAGCTGGGCAGTGCTGGCGTTACGGGAGACATCTTGGTTTTCTTCCCATACTCTTACCTTTGGTTGGTTACTATGGTAAAATTGAAAACTGAGCGACACCAAAAGTGATCTATAGGAAGGAGACAGTCAGAACTGTGCCCCAGATTGGCTGGCATCTGACTGGGAGGTCCTAAGTTTTCTTCTTGGCAATGTATGTTTTCACACTGAGTTAAAATGAAGGACTTTTTAAAGGTCCCAGCGGAGGAAACAGAGCAAAATGTGAACATAGCTCTCACATGCATGATTCCCCGGCTCGTTGCTGTATGTTTAACAAACTTTTGAACTAAAAGAGTGCTTTTATGGTCAGTTATCTGAAGGCGTTCGCACCTGGCCTGCAAGGGGCTGGGAGGAGGAAAGGTGTGCAGGTGTGCGGATGCCGTGGGAGATGGCTCAACATGGGGCACTTAGGGCGGGCCCACCTCTGTCGGGGCACTGGGCCACGGCCTGGAGTCTGACCTTCTGGGAGGGGAGACCAAGTGTCACAGGGGTGGCTGCTCACAGGGGCTCAGCACAGCTCTGCAGACTGGGGAAGGGTCACCTGTGTGGGGCCATGACCCCGTGACCCCGCGGCGTGCCTTGTCCACGGCGACGCCATCTTGGCAGGTGGCCGCGTGGCTTGGCCATCGCGCGCGGCCTGAGGGCGGGCCGGGCCTCCCCAACGCCGTCCGGGCATACCTGAGTCCAGCCTGCCGCCAGTACGCCACCATGGTGTCGCGAGTGGGACGTGTCGGGCAGAGCCGCGGGGTCGCTTCAGAGTCGCTTCAGCCGGGACCGGCTGCAGGAAGGTCAGGCCGCCGGAGTACCGGAAAAGGCGGGGTGCGGGCCCGCCAGTCACCGCCTCGTCCCGCCCTCGTCTCAGCCGGGAGCCAATGGGAGAGCCGGTGCCGCCTGCTCATTGGCCGAACGGCCTCCGGAAACCACGGTCGCGCGCGCGGACACCTGGGAAAGTGAGGCCGCCGCGTCCCGGTCACCTTCCCAGGTGCGGTGGCAGAGGGCGGGGCCTTCTCCACGGGGCAGGACCGAGGCCGCCCAACTTCGCTGGCCCTGCGTTTGTGCTAAGAACTGTGTGGCAAACCAAGATTTACATCACTTTAAACTAGAGTTTAAATAGTCACTAGCGCATCAGACCCTTTCGGGTGTGACTCCACCCGAAACTTTGTCCAAGAGTAACACAGAGCAGTGTTCTGTTTAGCTGGGACGTTAAAAGTAGCTTCGTTAAAACAAAAAACCCCTTTCATTAGATGTAACCTGCTTTTATAAACGTCAAGAAATTTTAAGCTAAGGAACTTTTTGAAGTAGAAAAGCATTAATTTTAGAGCCATTTAAAACAGTCTCTGTGATTTTGTATGCATGTTACCGGTCTCTCTAAGAAAACCAAGTAGAACCCATCTCATAAAAGGCAAAAGGCAACCCCTCCGACAATACTGCAGTATCAGAGCAAACAGCAGTGACTGACAGTCCGGGGCTGTTTTGCAGTCCTCCTCTGGCACCCCAACCAACTCCAGTCTTCTAGGTGTTCTTCAGGGCACTGTGTTCCCACCCCCGTTTTCACCCAACACCCGGAGGGAAGAAGGCGGCACCGATGATCCAGGTGACATCTGAGACGTCCCAAATGATGGAGAGCTCTTTTCCCGTAAAAAAGATGCTTTGTGGTCATAATTTCCCCAAAAGTAATCACATCCAAACAACCTGACATCTCATGCCTCAGCGATGACAGAAGCACAGTGTTGACGGGTGG